AATACTAGTTTATTTGTATTTATTTATTAAATAAAATTTATTTTATAATGATTTTATTAATTCTAATATATCAAAATCTTCTTCTGAAATTTTATCTATAGTCTCTTTTAACTCATTCATATTAAATGCATCGCTATTTTGATTATTTTTAATTCCACGTTTCTCTTTATACTTAACTCATTATCATTGAAGTAATACAGATATTTGCATTTATACAGTTTACTTTCATATCTTGATCTTTTTCTATCCGACTCTGTGATTGCTGTGCATATTCTTGTCTCTCCGATTATACCTAACACTATCTTAGTTAATCTTTCCTTTTCATTCACTCAGGTTTCGTTACTTAAATTTTTAAAAATAGTTTCAACGGTATCTGTATGTGCTGCTATCATTGCTCTGTCAGTCTTGTTGAGTATGGTTTCTCTACTACCATAGAATTGGGTTTGTTTATCCTAGGAAATATTATGATTACATGTTCTGATTCGGTTAAAGAAATCTTTTATATTATCATTAGTAATCTTTGATTCATTGATTACCATAACAACATTCGTAGTACTAGGATACCGTTCAGGGATATAAACTTTGTCATTGACAATAAAAATTCCATAGGTATCCTAAAAAAATTCTCATTTTCATCGAGGATCATACGGGATAATAACTCATCAAAATCACGTAAATAATGATTTAACGTCTTGGAACCACCCTCATAATTCATTTTGGGATCATATATTTGTAGATTTTCTGTTGATCGGTATTTAATCTGAATAGGAACTAGAAACCCTCCCTCTTTTTTGTTAAAAGAAAGAAACACGAACATGTCACACCCTCCGTCACCCGTTAGATTCCATTTTCCAACACGTGCAACCTGGAATGGTCTTTTGGTATCTGGTTCGGATTGTATATATTCATAGTCTTCTTCCATCATAGTTTCAATTTTTGTACCCCCTCCGAGCTTCATATTCCCTATTCTTACAGTCCAAGAATCATAATTACCATTGGAAAATAGCAGTTCTCCACCGGAAAGTAGATACGAAGTGCATAGAAAACAAATTTTAAACATTGTAAGATCTTTGAATTTTTCATGAATAACTCGTTCAAATGTCTCCCCAGTTATGAGATTGTCATTAGAGGCTGTGTATGTGAACTCTAAAGTACCACTATTTTTATTACTAGTGTGATTAAATGGATTCCTTTGTTGTCTCATCACACGTCGTGACTTATTCATGGTGGGAAGATATAATGGCAAATATAGATACAAATACCTAGTATATTTATATTC